TGTCTTGCTGTTGTGCTGTTACTGTCATACTGCCACTAGTGACAAAAGGAGTATTGTCTCTCCCTTCACAGCATACAGCAGCACATCAAGACAATGACCAACTGGATTGCTGACCAAGCTTTCCCATGATCATAAGCACTGGCCTAGGTGCTCTGACTAAGCACAGATAGGGGTCATTTCTGAGGAAAAAAGAAAAAGAAATAGGAAAAATTGTAACACCACCAGAAGGTGGCTAGTGAGTTGGTGAGTCTGAAGAATATTACTGTGGGTTTGAACAGTCCCCAGTTTGTCTGGAAGATAGCTTTCCACTCATCACCTTCCTTAATACAAACATTGAGTTTCATGTAATACTTGGCCCCTCAGAGTTTATCTATCAATTCCAAAATTAACAGAAGCAGGTATCAATTCTTGATTGTCAGTTCATTCAACTTCTGATAATCTTAGACTGGCTGAAGCTTGCTGTCCTTCTTTTTGACAAAGAAGAAGAGAGAGACCATGGAGGATTTAGATGGTCAGATCCTTCCACTAGATAAGTTTTCATCTCAGAACTTGTTGAGTTCCTGTTGCTCATTATTTCTGAGTGGGTATGTCTTGCAGTCCAGGTTGACATTGATGTTGAGGATGAGTTTGATAGCATGATCCCAAGGTTTGGGCTCTGGAAGTTCATCAAAGTTCTCCTTTTTAAGCAAGTCCTTATAGTCTCATGCCTACTTAGATACCATTTCTTCAAATGTCTTCTTCTCCTTTCCTGCAGCAGCTTTGGCTGCTAAGTTGTTGGTATGATGGATCACCCACACATATAAGGCCTGTTGTATATTGACAGTGAGTATGGTTTCACTGTCTTCCATCTCTTCATCTCATCGACCATCAGAGTCTTTGTCTGGTAGCTCAAATGGGAATTTTCAGCATTTGCATTGAGCAAAGGTGATTTTGCCAGTTTTTCAATTGATTAGCAGATTATGATGGATCAACCAGTCATGTCCAAGGAATACTTCCTTAGTTTCAAGATCAGTGACTGCCAAGTCAATCCATTTGGAGTGATCTCTGATCATGAGTCACAGCTCAACAAACTCTGTTATCGAGCCAGCTTGATTCTTGGTCCCATTGGCATTGTAGACCAGAATGGAGACTGCAGTGGCTCTTGTGGGGATTTGGTGCTTGGCAATAAAAGCATAGTTGATCAAGCTGCTCATGCATCTGCTGTCAACCAGTATGATCACAGCATGAGTGATTTGGTTCATGAGTATCTTGATCTGAGTTTTGACTGTCAGGTCTCATCTCTGGGTTTTAGTGCACCAAATGTATCTCCACAGCCCCTTTAATTCATTAAGTCATTCAAAGGCTCAGCACCATTCTGTCTTCATTCTCTCAATCATTTCATTGATGATCTTCTTGGTCCTGGTCTTATGCACCCAGTTCTTGAGTACCACCTTGGCCACTTCCTTCATCTTGGCATCTTTGATGGCCCTCCAGGTCTATTCAGTGTCAAATAGCTTGAGCCATCTGGTGAAGGTCTCTCCCTCTGTTCAGCCTATGGATGCTTGAGTTTCTTTTTGTGATTCTTTAGTGTGTGAAAAGGTAATAGATTCAGATATAATTGAATGCATACATAATTTAGGCATAGAAGTATCTACAGATACACTATTAGTCCATTCAGCAGCTATTGGTTGCACACCATGAAGTCTTTTGGCCGATCCAATAGAATTGCTCACTGGTCAGCCCTTTCTTTTACTTTTTCAATCTTTGTCTTTGGTCCCAGTTCCTCAGCTTCTCTTTGCAGTTTGGTGATCTGGGCTCTGATGTCTTCACAGGTTCTCTTCTTCAGGCAATCTTTTGCCATGTGTCTCTTCTGTCCACAGTTAAAACACTTTCTCTCTTTCTTCATATGGTTGATATCTATTGGTTTGCCAGTCTCTGTTTTCTGCACTATATAGGAGGATGTCACAGTGGTGCTGAGCTTGGATGAGGAAACAGCCTTGCCATTGGAGGATGAGATAGGCTTCTTGTTGGGTGTGATGCTGGTGACACACCCTCTCCATGTTCAGGCATGTAAAATTGCAAAAATTGAGAATATATGGACTGCATTTCAGTCCAGTAAGCATGTAATTGAGAATAGGATAAGAGTGCACTGAAATCTAGCCATCATAAGGCTAAACTGAAGTAACAATAAGCAGAGTGCATGACCTAGTAGCAGACTAATACCAGAGGGGTTAGACTGCATGTGAGGTCCCAGCACTTGGCCCTAAATGCATTAATACTATTACAAGAAGGCATGCTAAAATAAAAAGAATATGATCGAAATATGATCAGCAATCCTGATCACATTGATCAATAATGCACTGATGGAACATGCTTTAGAACAGGGAACTGAGACCCAAAGAAAGGTATCTGAATAATGGGGTGCTGAACAGAGAAATGACATGATGGCAACAAAGGAATAGATAGAGGAATACTACCCTCAGAGATGAATAGCATATATACTGCTCAGAGACTTGCATGCATACTTACAGTGTCTTAGCATGCTTAACACAGTGAGGGACTCCACATTATACTGCAGTATGACACATATCATATTGGGTAAGTTAATTAATGCATGTCAGACCAGAAGCAGTGCAATTTATGAGCCAGAGGGAAGGTTGAGACACTGAAAAAGGAGAACATAACTATTGTGGCTGACTCCAGACATGGGAGATAACTTTGGGGGTCCAGAACAGTTTACTGCTGTCAGAGATGTGTCACTGAGGCAAGAAGAAAGTGAGCAGACCTGGCTGGGCCAGCTAGCTGAGGTCAGCTAGTGAGGAGACATTGTGCAGTCCTGGCTCAGAAGAGAATAAGCATAGCAACTGTGATATATGCACAAATAATACCTGTGAGATCTGGCATAGAGTCCTATGCTTTGAAGATACCATCATAGAGTTGTATTAGTAAGTACTATAGTAGAGTATTTAAATATGGTATTGTATGAGTAGAAAAGGAGAGTTTCTGACCCCTACAGTTGCAGTGTATTGGGCACAGAAAGTGTTACAATTTTTCTATTTCTCTTCCTGATTAAACCCTTATTTAAGCTTAGTCAGGGTGTTAAACACCAGCACTTAAGACTGTGAGATGAAGCTTAGTCATCACAAGATGGCCAAGTCAGTCATTGTCTTCTGACATGACAGTGCTGCTTGGTGACACACAATCATCCTTTTATGTATAGTAATGATGCCCAAGGACAATGAGCACAAAGGATCCAGCAATGCACAATTAGTAACAGTATATTTAGCACAGGATCTGTACAGTATTTAAGATAGCTTACTCTTGCTGGAAACCCCAGCTTTGAGCTAAAGTTTATTCTATATCATTCTCTCTCAAGCCAGTCTCTACAGTCTTGCTGCACAATGACCATTGACAGCCAGTGAACTCTGATGTTCCACTCAAAGTGTAAAGTGACATCAGCTTATCACATGTTCATAGTTATATGCACTTTGGGTCTAACAATTAGCTCAAAGCTGTACCTTCCTTTTTCTCATACCCATTAGTGTAGAGGAAACTGAATGCCCTCTATCAACTCCTTAGACCCAAACTTCCATTACGAGTTCTTTGAACTCCTTGCTTCTATCATTGAAACATTGTTAGGATTATTGGTGATCATCCAGCTGTGCTGGAGATGCCATTCAATTACCATCTAGGCTATCAGACACTATAACGAGTTCTAACACATCCAACATATCCTATGAAATGTAACCCCTGATCTCCTGCTCTATGACATTCCTGAATTCTGACAAACATCCTACCAGCCCCCAACAAGCCCCTTACCAGAAGCCAGGCCTAGCAGCTCATATCAAAGGGATGTTCAAGAAGAGGAAAGACACCAATACCCTCCTTGATGACCCAGTAGAGATCATGACTCTTGCCTCATGGGATTCTGAAACCTATAGGTCCCTAGACCTCTGCCAGACCACAAGGATGAGGAGATCCCAGGGGACTTCTTTCAGCAGTCTCCCTCTCTCAACTCTACTTCTGCCTCTCCAATCAGAGGGGTTGGTAACCATGCCAGAAACTCTCTCAGTCCTGCTCAGATGGCTGAAAGATCCTGACACATGACATCTAGAAACCAGCCTGCTAGCTCTGCCACAACTCCTCCATGCTCAGTCAGGACTAGTGGTGGGATGAGGAGGTCACCCTCAGACTGGCTCAATGATGAGTGCTGAGACAGAGAGGCCTGAGATGAAGTCATACACAGATACTTCCCCATCTAGGACACCAATGTCCTTTTCAACTATGATGAGGCTCTTCAACAAGAAGAGCAAAGACAGCAAATAGCACCATGACCAGTTCTCAGCAAGCTTGAGGAGTGTATCCTCGAAAGTGGGAGGCAGAGGAGGCAAGCCATCGAGTATGACAATGAGCACAGGGAGAAGCAGTGAGCTGTTGAAAGAGCTCGACTGGAGAGGGCAAACATCTTCAACTGGTATGGAATCCAGCCTGAGGTTGCATCTGTACTTGCACCCATCTAAGCTGACCCATTCTTCTTGACCTCTGTCTTTCAAGAGCCTAATACTGACTCTGACCCATGGAGTGAGAACTACTGGCAAAATAAAACCCTCACAGCTAGTAGACGAGTTCCTGGAACCCCCCCATACCCTCCAACCTTCTAGTATCCCCCTTTCTGATGAACCCCTAGCATCAACACTATGTTCAGTGATGATGAGTTCATTCTTAGACACTACAGGTTATGAGTCCCTGGAACTGCTCATATCTCCACCTATACTCTCAGAGAGTTTCTTGGGAGTCAAGTGGTTGGATAGTTACTTGACAACAGATATAGAAGGAATGTCCAGCTCTATCATGAGCAAGTGGAGGTGGCAAGAGTGATAGGAGGGAACTGCTATAATAAATATATTGGAGCCCAACCAGCCTCCACCTACATCTCAAGCCTTGCTGCTGGCCCCAGCACTCAGCTAGGGTAGCAGAATGACAGTCTGACCACCAGAAGATGAGGAGAGTTCCTATGCCCTGCCTGCCATCTTCCCTAAGGAAGAGGGGGACAAGAATGAGAGAGATGAGGAAACTGAAAGTAGCAACCCACCACATGCTAGAGGCAACCTCTCATATCTCTTACAAGAAGACACAGATGATGAAGAATTGAAAAGGGCTATATAGAAGGCAAGGAGCCAAGAATACCAGGAATTTTACCTATAGAGAGTAAACTTTTTATGGTGCAATGCTGCCTGGGTAGCATCACAACTAGGACAATTATATTTACAGTCACCAATTAGTGAAAGAATGGAGATCCTAAGACATATGGCAACTGACTATACTGCTGTCGAATACAACAGAAAACATCTGAAAGATCAGGTTTAGTGACCACTGGCATATCTGATGCTGAGACAAATACAACCAATGCCACAGTCACCACTGGTCACCCCAAAATGAGCCATATACATAGCTCCCTTGGTCCAAAGCACATTCTCATATTCAGCACCCTCATCCTGGTCTATGGCAACCCAGCTCTCTTGAAGCTGGGTTTTGCCAGATATCCCACTGACCTCTTACTGAAACCTCTGGACTGGCAAAGGGAGTAGGATGCTAGATGCACAGCCACCACCAGATGAGGCCACAGGGAGTGGCACCAGGAAAGAACCAGTCTGAGACAATCTGAAAGCAGTATGACTCAGATTTACCATCAGGGATGGGGTTATTGTCCAAAAAGAGGAACAACTATGAGAGAGCCCAGTGGCCAATGACAATTCACTTTATTCCTTCCTGGGACCACCACAGGAGTGGCACTGTCTGCCATTCTCAGAATAGCCAAACCTGATGGGTGTATTGCCCTAAGATGCAGCAGTATTACAATGTTGCCTGGATCTCTTAAGAAAGCCCTGACCTTTTAAAGAAGCATCTGACAACATTGACTGATTTCTTGTAGACTGCAAGTAATATTTCAAAGTCTATATTGGATATCTCAGATCAGACATGAACAAGGTCATCTTCACCACCTTCTACCTTGAAGAGAAGGCTAAGACCTGGTGGATCCTCATCTTCTCAAACTTTCAATTAACAACTCAAGAGCACTATTATCACTTCTCATGAGCTATCTTTAAACAAATGCTCTATGATAAGTTCATTGATCTCACTGTGCAAGAAGTGCACAAACAAAAGATCAAGGAGTACAAGATGGCTGATAAGGCTGCCACAGACTATTTTGACAAGCTGGAATGATTGGCCAAACTCACTAGAATATGAGATGACATGGCAAATAATGGAAGAATGGTCGAGACCCTCAAGC